GAAGAGGCAATGGACATGATAAGGCAATACATTCAACAAGAACTCATGGGACAATGACAAAAAATTAAAAACCAACTCGATTCATATCATTCAGCAAAGGACATAACATAAGTAATTCACCAATTTTTTGGAGACTGGTTGGGCAGTGAGAAAGGGGACTGGATCGCATCTGTCCGATGGGAAGGAAAACCCGCCCAGGAAGGCAACCACGAGGAGTTCATGAGAGACTACCGTATCTGCTTCAGAGACTGGACTACTGTGGGTCAGGAGATCCCACTACGACCAACCACAAAATTTCCTGACCCCTTCCCACCCCACCAATTGGCAATGGTGGATATGCAATGATACGGAGCAGACTAAACGGGTGATACAAGACAAATACAGAGAAAACTGAGAACTGGCATCCAGAGGAATAAGAGGCAGCCACTAGGGTAATAGGTGTGATCTGGCAGTCTAGTACAAACTGAAGAGGCGGCCCTCGGTTTGTCCAACGCAACTATTACTATTTCTTTTAGATTGGAGAGTTACCCTCAGGTCTAGTTCTCAGCATAGGAAGACCAACAAAAAGGTCTAGGATTATAGACAGTGATGGGACACTGAACCCGGTTTCCAGCAGTTGTGTTCTTCCGCAACTCATCTCATGTTTTTCTTAAGAGGGACGATGGACTCGGCTTCCAGCAGGTGATGCTCCCCACCAATAGATGGGGCGGTCCGTCGACAAAGCCTCAATCCCGGTGGTTCTCTTACCACCACTGGGATAAAGGCCTTGCACAAGGGCCCTTTGAAAAAAAAAAAAAAAAAAAAAAGATCGATGAGATGATCGACAAAGGATGGATTAAACCTAGTGAATGTGAATTCGGTGCACCCGTTCTATTTGTCTCCAAGAAAGAAGGCAACCTTCGTATGTATATTGATTACTGCGGTCTAAACCACATCGCAAGGAAAAATGCTTACCCATTGCCACGCATAGATGATTTGCTGGATCCTGCAGCCTGCAGGTGAGTGCAACCATGCAAGGTCTTTTTCAAGATCGATCTCAAGTCTCGATACCACCAGATTGAAATCGATCATGCGAACCAGCACAAGACTGCATTCAAGACTCGCGACGAACTTTACGAATTTACCGTGATGCCCTTCGGCCTCACGAACGCACCGACCCCCTTTCAAAGTCTTATGGATAATGTCCTCCGCGAACAGATTGGTCGATTTGCGGTTGTGTATCTGGAGGATATTATGATTTTCAACAAATCGATTGAGGAACACATGAAGCACCTTGAGGAAGTGTTCACCATCCTCAAGAAACGTAGCTCCATCTCAACTTAGAGAAATATGAGTTTGAGAGCGACATAGCCATCTTTCTTGGACACCGGTTGTTTGCTGCAGACCTTGAGCCTGAGGCAACCAAGGTGGCATCGACCCGCGAACATTCACAAATTGAGTTCTTTTTTTGGCCTTGCATCATACTATCGGAAGTTCATTTTCCAATTTTCTATTGTTGCTCGTCCGTTGTTCCAACTACCAAGCAAGAACATATTTTACATGTGGGATTCAACATGTGAAACCGCTTTTCAAGCCTTGAAAGAGGCTTTGGTAAGTTATCCTGTGCTCCGCATTGCAAATTCCAAACTCACATTAGTAGCCACTGCGGATGCGAGTCAGCATGGGATTGGCGCAGTGCTGCAGCAAGATGACGGTGATGACTTACGACCGCTCGAATACTACAACAAATGCATGCCCAACGAAAAGGTAGCCATTATCTTCTCATACGCCATTACAAGGTCTTCTCAGATCATGAGATCTTGAAATGGATCAAGGAGCAAACCACCTTGTCCCCTACGTTGACTCGCTGGTTCAATGAGATTGATATGTTTGACTTTGAATTAAAACACAAAAAAGGATATTATAATCGAGTTGCTGATGCATTGTCTCGCCACCCTGAGTAGATGTCTTGTAAGCTCCTACGACCTCCAGAAGAAACTGAAGGAGGAATTCGTGGAGCAAACTACCAAGGACCCGGACTTTAGTCTGATCCTTGAGCAGCTGCGGGAATGGACACTTCAAGGCTATGGCGAAAACAAAAATCTCAGCATGATAAGAATGATCGTTTGTGTGTACCCAACCATGAGCGTCTCCACACACATTTCTTGGATTTGGCTCACGGCTAGAGTGGACACTTCGGCATGGCAAAAACCTACAGAAACCTGTTCCAACAATTTGACGGCCTCGTATGAAAGGATCTGCTGAAACGTTTGTGGCTGAGTGTCAAGTTGTCAATGAATCAAATCATCAAGACAAAAGTCCATGGGGCTGCTTAAACCTCTTCCCATTCCCAACGGTCCTGGAGAGTCTGTCTCTATGGACTTCACAGAGATGGGAAAAACGAGTAAGAATAGATATTCACAAGTAATGGTGATTGTTGATCGATTTTCCAAATTCTTGAATCTGATTCCATTGCCATCTCATGCCCCAACTGAACTTGTGATCCGTGAGTTCCACCAGAAGTACATTCTGCAGTCCGGGATTCCGAAAACCCTTGTGAGTGATCGAGACCCGCGCTTCATAAGTACTGGATGGAAGGACTTCACGTCCTAACTCCCTGGACTCAAACTAAGCATGATATCTGGCCGACATCCCAAAGCCAATGGTTTGGCTAAGGAGATTAATCAGTCCATGTTTCAACTTCTCCGTTCCTTAATTATCTCGGATCAGGAAACGTGGGATGAAGAGTTGTATTCGGTTAATGGGTTGTACAACAACTTCATTCATTCTTCCAGAAGCATGACGCCAAACAGGTTGCATTACGGTTGGAAGATTCGTAATCCGCTCTCCTACTTATTCCCCGAGCAGCCGGTTGGTCTAACACCTGATAGGCCTGGCTTCAGCGTCAGGTATGATCGCTTGCTCAAGGTTGCCATTGCAGCAATGACCAAGTGACAACACACCATGATCCATCATGCGAATAAGAAACGCACACCTTCGAATATCAAAGAGACACACAACTGATTTCTGAGTTTTGCTCATGGAATGTATGCCTTGCTGAGTTTTCCGCTTGTTGCTGAGTTTTCTAAGTATGTGTGTGTGCGTGCTTGCTGGTCTGCATGCCTGTCAGAGTGCTTGTCGGCTTGAGTGTGTGTGTGACCCGCAAGGGCACTTGTTCGTTCAGATGGCCCGAAGGGCCGGTACTTACCTGTGGCCGTGACATTGAGGGTTGCAGCGGGGAAAACACTCAAGTGGCGGGGAAAGAGGCCCGCGACACTTGAAGCAGCGGAAAAACACTCAAGTAGCTGGTAGACCGGTACCACACCAGGTAGAGGTAGATGTGCCGGGTACTTGAGGCCGAGCAGAAGAAGACAAAGTTGGCATTTTCAGAGGCCCCGTAGTTGTAGGCTAGGTTTAGGCGGGTACCAGTCCAACCAGTCTGAGTCTAGGGCCTGTACGGGCAATATCAGAGTCTGCAATGATGTTTCCCCCCGACAGGGAGGAGGTAACGGTTGCTTGGAGGTCGCGCGGCCTAGGAAGTCACTCGCCAAGAGGCAAGCAGGCCGCTATATCTCCAGGAGGAGCAAAGTGCTCCTCCTCATTGTCAGTGCACAAGTTTGGCGACACACTGGATGGAGCACTGGCTGGAGCAGCACTAGCATCAAGAGCAGCGCTGCTGGGGAGGAGCAAGGACAGGAGGAGGAAGAAGACCGGGACTGGGAAGGAGGAGCGCCAGGGCCCAGAGGGCCAGAGGTACTTACCTGGCTATGGTGGATGCCATCTTCATCACCTTGGTGGGTGCAGCATCTGGAAGGCCCCAGTTGAGGTAGAGCTACACCAAGAAGCTTCGAGGCAGAGTCAGGCATGGCTGCCTGAGCTAGAGCAGCCATAGCTGCTTTGTGTTGTCCTTTGCACAGCAGGGCAGTGCCCTGGCAGTCTGCCATAGCCTTGGCCATGGAAGAAGGAGGAAGAAGGGTGACAATGGCTATGGTGGACCTCATGTGATACGTGGAGTAGAAGAGGGATTTGGACATTGATTCTGGTTCAGCCATTCAACATTATAATTATTATTTCTTGTTTGAATAAGAGGGGAGGAGATAAGGAGGAGAGTGGTTGGTGAAGAAGAAGGAAATTCAAGGAATTCTCATTGGTCTTTGCTGGTGTACATCTTCTTCTTCTTCTTCTTTCTTTCATCTTCTTCTTTTTTCCCTCTCTCTTCTCTGAGGTTCATTCATTTCTTTTTGCAATTGGATGGCATTGTACTTTCTCATGAATGTGTATTTCGAAATTGGCCAGGATCATAACATTTGCCTGTTTGCTTGTTTCGTGTCGCAGTTGAAACGGCATGTGATGGGCTATGGCTGGACCTGGTGTACCACTGAAAGATGGAGTATAATGGCGGAAATGCTGTGAGATCATTTCCGAACACACACACACACACACACACACACACACACACACACACACACACACACACACACACACACA